CCGTGAGCAGTTTTGAGTCAGCCAGGGCAGCTGAACCTCAGTCAGCCACAGGGGTAGCCCACACCATAATGTCATGATCATTGTAAAGGGAGAAGGTTGGCTGAGGAAGGGGAGCCTCTGTGGGGTTCCTCCTGGGGTTCCTTCTGCTTCTCTGGCTTCTCCCTGCTCCTGAGGACTGCCCTCCTGTTGGTTATGACCGCTGCATTTGGCTGCTGAGTATAACTTTGTTAGTATGGGTGTTTCATTAAATGTGTTTTCACTTCAACCCACGCTCTCTTTCCCCCCCCCAATTCTCCCTCCTGGCTGGTGAGGGGTGATAGAGCAACTGTTACAGTTTAGCCCTGGGTACAGGCTAATTACAGGTACACAAGGGTAGATCAGAAACCACATTCTTGTCAAGGGAACTCTGAAGATCAGAATCATTTGCAGTGCTTCCAGATTACTCTATGGTTACACCTTGTTGTCTTCACCAGTTGCATTCCAATCAGTAACACTTTTTTTTTTAAAGTAACTGTAGGTGCATTCTGCTTTAGACTTGGTCATATTTTTCCACCAGACACTCACTTCAACTCAGTCTTGGACATCTGTTTGTCTACAGACACAGTAACCCTTATTTTCCTCACTGCATGTAATGTATCTGAGAAAAAGGTGCAGTCAATGCCCCCCGTGAATCCAATCCAAATGCCAGCCACATTCATTGCTCCATTTGATGGATTCAAGCAGATACATATGCTTGCAGGTGTTACTTGACCCTAGACTCTCACGGCCTTTCCTCCCACAGAGATTTCTACTAAAGACAAGGCTTGCATTCTTCTTTCATTCTTCATAATTAAAGCAAAATCATGCTGCTGAGAACCTAATTTCAGTACCAGTGTGACCTTGGGAGGCAAAGACTGAGAAGAATCCTTCACATTCCAGTTATAAGATGGTAACTCTTCCCCCTGACTCAAAGCACAATCAACAGCTCCCCAAACAGCCTGATGCAGTTAAAAAAATACCTGAGGTGACAATCTGCTTTGTTACAGTGATGTGGATTTTTACAACAAAACCAGAAGGGAGTTAGTCTTACAGAAGAGAACTTGTTCGGAGAGCTCTTGGATTACACAGAGACGTATCCTAGTTTCCCAAATTACTGTCTCCAGGAAAGAGTCGTTCAGAAGCAGACCCTCGTAGCAACAGCAGCCTCCAGAAAGCTCACAGCCACTCAGGCTTTGGGCACTGCCTCAGTTGGGTGAAGACTTGGAAAGCGCCTAACTGACACTCGGAAAGCAGAGGCATTGCTCTTTGTACTTCCTGAGCCCTGCCAAGGAAACACCTGTGAAGGATGCCCCTGAAGAACCAGGTCACAGGTGGTCAAATCCAAACTCAACACATGACACTGAACATGAGGACAGTGACACTGCTCTGACGTGTCAGACAGGGACGCCGTGGTTTCATCTTTGAACACGTGACATATGGGCAACCTGTATGAAATACAAAATCCAAGGATGTCCATAGTTATCAATATGGCATCAAGACAAACGAGCACGAGTGAAGAAAGAGTTTACAAATTTGACCTACTATTTTAAGGTCCACAGGCACACTGTCCATCAGGCATATGGCTTGACAAGTATTTACTGCTACAGGCTCTCAGAGAAAAAACTTAATTGTAACAAAAACCAGACAGCAATTCTCATCAATAAGAAGATTAAAGAAGCACTGACAGCTATAGTTAAGTAGGAAAAAAAGGTAAGGTATTGAAAAAAAATTTAAGGTAACAATAGAAAAATAGTTTAATTTTGAACATAGCCCAAAAAGCAGCATTTCCTACCTGGAATAAGATAAGGATTATGAATGAAGCAGAATATATTTGCATTTCAAGTGACAAACACAAAGTTTAAAAATCAAAATATTTTAATAACCAGTAATTGGGAGACATGCCCTTACTTGCTTACTGTACTTTGGACTAGCAGCTACTCCACAGATGAAAGCCATTTAACATTTTGTACGAGTTTTCTGCCTTGCAACATACAAAGGTACATACCCTTATTCTATAATTCCAGCAACAGATAAAACACCGTAAATAAAATCTTAAAGTCTTTGGACCATTTAAAAGCTCTGTGCTGCCACGCTATACTATGCAAACAAATTATTATACGGAGTTACAGGCAGCTAGCACACTGGAAACACTGTCTCGTTCCATAGTTTATACAGTCGTACACACTGAAACTGCTAGCTTAAAAAGATTACGCAAATAGTTCAGTAAAAACGGTCATGTGTGAGTGATAAACTGTGTTCTTTAAAGCTGGCTATGGATTAAGCTATTGGACCACGAATAAACAACTTTTTGTAACAAATACGCGATCCCAGAAATACAACTCACTTAAACTGCATTCATACTTCATGAGAATACCTCTTTTCATCCAGATGAATACATGTATGTTCAAGAACAAAATAAAATCTCTTATTAAATGGTTTGCAGGATTTATTAGGTCTTTTTTAATATACTCAATACTTTATCAAGCTAGTTGCATATAAAGTGATCTCCACCATATACATTACAATTTCTGTGCATAATCTAAAAAAAAAAGTCAACAAAAAGTAGTATTTTACAGGTTACAGTTAACTTTTAATTAAACTAAAAGAGAACCTTTTTGTAATTTAAGACACTAACCTGCACATTGCTTGTAACTGCAATACTTCAGCTAGGTTTCACAGCAAGCTCAACCTGTATTTCAGTCAAAGAGGCTACTGCCATCTGAACTTTTGAACTTCTATTGCTTACTATCTTAACACCGCAAAAAAAATTAATGTGGTGTTCACTCCAAATAAGGAGAAAGTATATGACAACTCCTTTACAAGAAAGCCTGCTCAGAATACATATGCCTTAAGAAAATTAGGAAACTCCTCCAGTAAAACGAATTCACCCAAATGTGTGAACGGAAAAAACATTTTAGGTTCTTCTTGATTAATGCTTGGAGCTGCTCACAACAAGCAAAACCAGCAAGCACAACAGGTAAACTAGTACTGGATATGACTTAAAGCAAAGAAAACTAGAAAAAAAAAGCACAGATTCTACCTGCAACAAACATTTCCCCATTTAGAACAATCTTTAAAAGGGACTCACGCAGATAATCAACAAGTAGGTTTTCTGGTATCTTCATAGGATGCTAGTTTACTGGCCAGGCACATATATTGTAAATATACAAAGAATCCAGAGTGCTGAAATTTACACAGCACTTAAAGGATTTAACGTTAACAGACGTGGGTAGGACACAGGAAAAATATTTAACAACTTATATAAATATATTAAAATCTCAGCAAGAAATGTCAAGAGCCCATGCACACAAGACAGTAAATGGGAAAAAAAAAAAAAAACATTTAAGACTTGACTTTTCCTTTCAACAGCACTGACACCTGAATTCCGCAACATTAACAATTTACAGCATCTTATAACAGTCTTTCTGCACATAACTTGTATGTACTGAATCATACCAACATTACACAGCACGTGAAGAAGCAGCAGATGCATCAAGGGAACAGGAGCTATATGCATCATGTGGCCTGCCCAGTTAGAGGCAAGTATCAGAAAAAGTGTTTCTGACATAGGCAGAGATACAATCAATATAGCTAATTGTACACCCGTCATATTCGAGAGTTAATCCACAGTATGGGAAAGGGGAGCTTTAGATAAAAATTATGCACCCAGTCTCAGAAGTGACAGAAGCAGAGATTTGTCTTTCAAAAACTGGGTCCATTCTGGACTGGCCTTGATGCACATGCAGTATGTTTGTTTTCAGAATGCAAGATTAATTGGGAATGTCTGCACTAGTGTTTCGATTTCCATATTTGTGATGGATGATCAGCAATACAACTCCTAAGAAGAAGCAAATGGACCCAACAGTGATGTAAGCAATTCCCAGAAAGGGATTTTTGCCTCCCATCCACGAGATGGTGCTTAGGATCATTCTTTTTCGTCCATCAAAACTGTGTACAGGATAATCTGAAAAACATTTAGGAAAACAAGAAGCACATTTCCAAATCTAGCTTTATATGCTCAGGCACATTAAAATTTTGGGTCATTTCACTTGGGTTCCAAATCCAATATTCAAAGGCAGCAGTTAGTAAGTGCAAATCTGAAACATTCAGCTGTTCTTTTAGGCTAAGACTAATCTGAGCACCATCAGCTACTCCAAGAAAAGTGCCCTGTTAGAAGATGTTAACCCCTTTTTAAGGGAAGAGTAAATGCAGAATTTTATGGGTTTTGGAAAGCAGCTTCAATATAATGAGGGAAATTAAATTTTAACTCTTAAATATATTTTAGTACAAAATTTTTCTTTATGTTCACTCCGTTTTATACAGACTCCCCACAGTTTTGCAGAAAGGAAAATACTGCAGTATCTATTAAAAAAAGTTCATTAAGGGCTTTCAAATTTGAAGAATTTGGTAACTGTGACAACCCTCCTCCTCTAGTCTCCTGCACTTCTACCTACTCTTTAGTTTGTCCAAAATAGCATGACAAACCTCCACCTGATCCATGGCTCTGGCATTTTTCTGACCTCCAAAGTCAGTCTGTCCTTGATTACATATTGTCATTACACCTTGAAGAAGTTAAGGGTTCTCAAATTTCTAGGCTACCAACTACCTCTGTTCTTTCCTTTTTCCTACGCTTCTCTCAATTCCTTTACAGCACCCAAGCAACCCGATCTCCCTCTCACTATGAAGCTTCTAATTCGATAAAAACTTGCACAGAGGTAGATGTCAATATCCTACACAATTCTCACTACCAGTTTTCAACCACAGCTCAACACCATCTTTGGTTATGAGACTGTAATAAAAAAGGCTTGTTCAATTTGAACTTGCACAAATACAGGCCCGTGTGATCCAGCTAAGGCCCTCAGCCACTATGAACAGTTTTTCAAAGGATACTGTATGCAATATCCAAAGAATATTTTCCAGCCTGCAAGGTAGGCTGCAAGTTATTCTTCCTTTCAATGAGACGATACAGCTTGCGAAATGTGGGCAGAGCAGCAGTACGCATCCACACAATGAAGTCTTCATTGATAAAGCCGTTGTTGTCAGGCTCTGAGTCCAGCATATACACTGGCTTGGGCCAGTTCACAGGTTTTGTTGTGCCTAGGATTAAACAAAAATAGTAACAATAAAGTGTTTCAAATACAGGACTAAGAAGTAACACACTGGCTCATCAAAACTCATTCCAGTATTAACAAAAAACACATACTAACTTCTAAACAGTATGAACAGACAGGCTGGCTCACTACTATTGCAAGACACTGGGCTCTTTAAGAACTTTTTATTTTGCAGCTTAAATAGTGGCACGTATCCATTTATTCCCATGACAGCGCTGTCCATTTGTTTAAACAAATTTGCCTCCCCTATTTATACAGCCAGGAAGTCTGGTCTCAAAACATTACTTAGCGAGAGCGTTCTCCATTACAATGATAGCTCCTCTGCTCACTCGTTGGAGTTTGACTACCACTTCCTGGACCATGAGCAAATAAAGTTATGTACAGTATTTTAGATGATGCCATACTAATGCTTTTGCTAGTTTTATCGGAAATACAATTCTACACTATATTAGGGTACGATATCTGCTTTTCCAAGGGTAGCATCATACTGGTAACATGTCATTTGGCTGTGACTAAGCAAGAAACCCACATCAGGTTAAACCTGAAATTATATACCTTGCATAAACACACACACACCTACCTTAGAGCCCTGAGGAAGATTATTTTCAGATATTAGTAGCCAAAGAAAACTGTGATTTACCAAACTGTATTTAACCTAACAAATAAGAGACATCAATCACTTCTAATCACAAAAAAAGAGTAAGTTTTCTAAAAAACTGCACAATTGAGCAGCAGAAACATCTAAATGAAAACCACATGAAAAGTTGGATTAAACACCTGCAGATGTCTTTTCGAGTTAAAGCCAAGCATTATAGCACTTGTACTGGTTTTGGCTGGGATAGAGTTACATTTCTTCTCAGTAGCTTGTACCCTGCTATGTTTTGGATGGGCGATGCAGACAGTGTTGACAACACACTGATGTTTTACTTATTGCTGAGCAGTGCTCACACAGCCTCAAGGCCTTTTCTGCTTCTCACACTGCCCTGCCAGACAGTAGGCTGGGGGTGCACACGGGGCTGGCAGGGGATGCAGCTGGGACAGGTGACCCCAGGGATACTCCCCACCCTGTGACATCGTGTTCAGTAATAAAACCGGGCAGGCAGAGGTAGGCAGGGGCTGGCATTGCTCAGGGACTCAGCTGGTGGTGAGCAATTGTTTTCTTTTGGATAACTTGTCTTTCTTGGGTTTTATTATCCTCTCTTTGTTGTTTATGTCTTTTTCCCTTACTTTTTTTTTTTTTTAATTATTAAACCATCTTTATCTTAACCCTCAAGTTTTCTACTTTTACCATTCTGATTCTCCCCTTCATCCCACTGGGCAGGGGCACAATTAGTGAGCAGCTGTATGGTGCTTAGTTGCCACCTGGGGTTAAACCACAACAGCAGTGCATATATTCAGCTTTTCTCAGCGTTCAAGGTGGAAAAAAAAATAATCAGAAATTAAAGAAAAAAAAAAAAGAATTATTACAGTAAAACCAGAACTCTTTCATATGATACTTGCAGCTTTCATTATTTAAAGACAAACTTTTTAGATAGCAGAGTAGTCCTTAGCTTGGCTTTCTTCAGAGTGCCACAATATCTTTAATTAGCACATTCAGTAAAATGTTGTCAGTGAGGTAAAACTCCCCGGAATCAAAATGCGTTTGAAGCATTTCATTATTCTTAAAACTTCGCTTTTTTTTTTTTTACCTTGGAAAAGCGCAGTTAAGTTATTTCCATCTCCTGTAGGATTCCTGAACTTTACATTTTTATCCGTCCACCATGCAATGCCTTTTTTAATCAAAGTAATAGGAGTCCTTGTGTCATTATCAATGCGGTATAATTCCAAGGTATCTAAAGAGAAAATCAAATTAGAAAACCAGCGGAAGAAACTTTCATTAGACAGATGATACTGATAGGCAGTGAAACAATTACCTCCAGGAGAAACAAAACGAAAAAAATGGACAAGGCATTTATTACCTGCCTGCCACAATCATGAACTGTTCTGTAAAAATCAAAGTATATTAGATAGCAGCGTATTATCCATATATGGTTATCTTTGTTTCTACTCCGCAGCAGCAACAGCTCCTCACAACAGGTATTTCCATCCTTTGTAAACTATCAGATTAAATTAATCCCCATAGCAATTTTGAAAAAAGCAACAGCAGTACAAGGTATTTATTTTATTCGGAACAATGAAAATGTGTTAATTCAAAACAAAAGAGCCACGATGTCTTTACTCAGAATAATTTGCAAGACAACACAAAACATACACTAGATCACAAAAACATCAAAGTGATAATGTAAAAGTGTTACCATACCATTAAACATACTGTTGGCAATAGCTCCACAAGGAGCAATGGGTTTGTCCTCATTTGTGCGGTAAGGCTCACACTCCTTACTTGGATTCTGATAGTTAGAAAGAAAAAAGAGACAGATGAGTCAGCGCTAGTTTATCCAACTTGTTTTTTACCACAGTACCTCAATAATGTGCAAATCCTAAATGTACCACAAAATAATCTTTTCACAGGTCAGGTTATTTACAGTAACTTCAACATTCAATACTAGTTAGCATGACTGATTTTTCTTTTACAAGCAGGTATAAAATCTAAAACATTAAAGTCAGAATCCCATCACAGTCATATTAACAAGAAGGCTTTTTGTTGAAGCTTTTTCTTTTATTTTTTAATAGAAACAGTTTTCCAATATGAAGTACTCAAATATTCTTTTATTAAAGGGTTTTAAGTTTGCATCAGTGTTATAGAGAATAAAGACTATAGTAAGAAGCCAAGCATAACATAAGATGCAAAAGGTTGCAAACAGTCCAGCAGCATGCCAAAAATGCAGGCAGAAAAAGGC